AAGAGAAAAACCCAAACCCCAGAACCTTCTTTGTTTATTTTCTAATTGTCCTGAGGATGCTTGCCCCTTCAGTGCAGTTCTAAGGAGCCCATAGGGAATCCTTTATTCATTACTGTGAGCTTAAGATTTATGTATTTTGGACATTACTTTTGGCAAAAAGAGGTAGTTCATTATTCCTGTGATTAGTATTTCCTTAAAGTAGTGCTTGCCTTACTCCAGTGATTTTGGGTGTTTGAATAGTCCTTCCGTGAAGTGATGCTGGACTTGTCCACGTGGTAAACAGGAATGGGTTTTTCTTTAGTAAACTGCTTTCTGGGTAAGGCTGAATTTGGGCTGGTGTATTTCTGTTAAATTAAGATACGAATGTGTTTCAGCTAAGTTTACGTAGTACACCAGAAAAAAGCAAATGTTGATTCTTTTAATTTGAATGGGATCACAAACTCCTCTGTCATTAGCCATTTTTCTTTGTACCTAAGCAGATCTTTCATTTAGGAAAACTTTCTTTTAAACTTTGACATATGCTTCTTACCCTGACCAAGTAAAAATGCCAAACTTCAGTTGTATCTTGATGCAACTCATTTTCATCTTTTTTTGAGAAGCAGTTCCTTCAGTACAGTTGCCATTGCTCCGACAATACGGACACTTTCCATCACTGAAACAAGCTGGCTTTACATCAGCTAGTAGGAAAAGCATTGTGCAGATGGCCTTAAGTTTGGCCTCTTTGTTCTTGCAGATCATTATTCGTTGTATGGATTGTTTATGCCATGTGTTTATCCTGGCATAACTTTTGAAAGAGCTGCTGTTGTGCATCAGTGCAGTGCACAGTGTGTTCATTCACGGGGTTAATCACTGCTGTCCATCAGCTGGTGAAAGAGCTGCCCCTGTTCTTCAGCTGCTGGCCTGGTGGCAGTGCACTCCCTGTGACCAGGGTGGTTCTGGTCCCACATGCCAGGATGTTTTCAGTGGTGTTGGCCATGGTAACTGCGGTATTGCTGGTACTCAGACCTCCATGCATGCAGAACAGACAGCACGATGACACTTTGGGTTCTCCCACCCACTGCTTGTCCTCTGTGTGCCTTTGCATGTGGAGATAAGCCTCTACCACATCACCTAAACATTTTTCACCCTGTTAGGCATATTGGATGTAAGAATTTTTCCATATGTCATGGAGAACAGGAGAAATGTACCTTGAGTGCTTTTTGTTGACCTGCACACTCTTGTGTTGTGTCTCAGCAATCCAAGTTCAAGTATTGAAAAGATTCCCTCCCTTCTTCTGGCCTTAAGGAAAAAAGTAACATTTTGGTGATATGCTTTCAAGCTATAAGTATGATTGTATCCAAGAGTAAGATTCCTTACCAAACAATGGGAACGAAAAGCTGAATATTATAGTATCTCTTGAAATTGCTTTCCTTAAGTCACTGTACTTCAGGATAAGGCTTTAATTTTCACTTGGTTTCTGCTCTGAAGTCTAAGGTTGGGCAGTCCTAAGTCTATTTTAACATCTAAAAATGTTTATGAAATGTTTACCAGTGTCACTTTTTAAAATAATGCCTGCATCTTTAATATAGCAATATTAAGTGCGGCTGTCCAAATCAAACCAAAGTGTTAGCCTGCCCTTAATGTGCTGAATGAACATGGGCACTGTTGCCTTTTTTTCCCTCCCCAGATTAGTTAGTGAGATGTTTGTTTCAAACACGTACCCTTCTGTTGTCAAAGTCTTCAGCAGGTGCAAAAATGAAATGCCGCAAATGTTGCTGCAAAACCCCCAAGTCTCTCTTTGGCTTCAGCAGATGTAGAGTGGGAAGAGTCAAGTAAATGAGAAATCAGTGCGATGAAGTGAAATTTATGCCATGTTTCAAACTTGACATCATTGGTTTAGGTCCGAAGTGAAAACAAATGAAAACAGCATTCATGAAGTGAAAACTACTGGCCCAAAGTGCGTGAAGGTTCTTGAGTTATCTTCGTAAAGTTTTGTGGGGTTCTTGGTTTTGTTTGTTTAAAGGGAGGGATTTTGAAGTCTTCCTCAAGCTTTTCTTCCTCCTTCTATTGCCTTCTAGCTTTGCCCACTTGTCTTCATGAATAACAAAGACGTTCCTACCACAGAACATTAACGTGCTCATTTTTTTCTGAAATTTGCTTTCTTCTGCATACTAATGCCATTGAATTGTGTGGTTTATGCAGTGCTGGATCCAACATTTTTGAATATTGACTCTGCAATACACTTGAAGGCTGACTTAACAGAGGGGCCACACACACAGTGATGGAGCTGTTTAAAGCACCACCTTTACATTTCCATCTGACTAGTTTCTAGAAAAACATCCCAATTTGAGTTAATAAACGCAGGAAATAAGATCCTTATGTTATATGTTAACAGTCTAAGAAAAACAGAATAATGAAGCTATTTGGGTTGGCTTTTTTTTTTCCACTGGCCTTTCGCAACTGTTTTGTGATATGTAGTAAGTATTGTAGCTACGTGACAACTGCAACTCAATGCAGAGTTTGAATGAACATGAATATGTTACAATTTTTTAAAATCACCATTTGTGATTATGTGTTGATCTAATGGGTACACAGTCTACATGCTAGAACTTGCCCAAGGTCTAACTAAAACCAGCACACCAAGCTAGTCCTGGAGGCCTGTGGGAAAATCCTTCAAGGACTGTGTCAAAGAGTCAACAGGGAAGCTTAAAAATAGAAATTCACTCCTCAAAAGGAATTTGCTACTCTTCCAAATTTGCTGCTGAGTCATGCTCTTATACACAGTGACCTCATCTTTACTGGATAGAGTTGAAGCTGTTTGCATTAATTTCACCTCCATTAGATACAAAAAATGTGAATGCATACACCTGCATTGTTGCTTGGAACACACTATATTTGTCATTAAAACAGGTGAAACTACTATATGTAGGTAGTTGTGCCTACCTGGACTTCTACACTAATGTGTAAATGTCAGTAATAAAGCAGTTCACTGTAAAGTAGCTCTAAATTCTAAGCCAGTCTAATCTTTTTTAAGGCTTAACAGATAAACCTTACACTTTTATTTGCTATATCTCTGCTTGCACATGTAAAATATAATAATCTGTGTAAATAGGTTTTCAGCTTACTTACGTGGCCTTTTTTGTGATGACTAAAAATGATTAAAAATAGCACTCAGGATTTTGGGTGGATTATCTAGGTTTTTTTGATGTCTCTTAATTGTTGGTTTTGTGTCTGAAAGTAGTTCATGGTATAAAAACAAATCTCAGTTTCTCAAAATTCAATACAATCCGCTTACTCTGTGAAGTTTCAAACTTCTGGTCAGCCTGAAAGAAGTGTGAGGTACAGGTTTTTGCACTTGTATTCCACAACTTGAACTGCTAGAAGAAATCAATCAATAAATAAGATTTCTTTAGAGAATCCATAAAAACTTTATCGGAGTTTTTAAGAAAAATGTTGATCAGGTGGTAGACCTGACTGATGAAATTACAGTCCTTGTAATGCCTTGGGTTATAACTTTATGGTAGCAACAGCTTTTTTTCAGATTATCCCAAAATCTGTTTGATTCTATTAATCCGTGTGGAAGTCTCTGTCTAGAGCTGTACATTACAGAACCTGATGTATTGGTTTTCTTGTGTGCTTTTAGGTGAGTTGTGTAACCTCATAACGCTGGATGTAGCGCACAATCAGCTTGAACACCTTCCAGAAGAGATTGGAAGCTGCACGCAGATCACCAACCTTGACTTGCAGCACAATGAGCTCTTGGACCTGCCAGAAACTATAGGTATGTGAAGAGGCTGGAAGAAGAGAAAACAAATCCCTATTTCAAAATGTTAAGTAAGAGGAACAAATTAAAGAGTGAGTGTTTGTTTGGTGACTGTAGAATAACTGGTGTTCAGCATAAGGGAGCTTCACGCTCGAGATTAAAAACAAGCTGTGTGTGTTACCTTAAATGTAGCTTATAGCCTTCTGAATTATATCATTAAATCAAACTGTGCTGCAAAGTGCAGCCATGTCTAGGAATGAAAGTTGTAGTGATGGATCTTTTTTTCTTTATAACTTTGATTTAAGGTGTCCTGTGGCTATGTCTAAATATCTACAGCTTGTCTGCCCATTCTGGAATGAAACTGAGTATATAAAGGCTAAAAGACTTTTAGTTGAAGTGTAATACTTTGGCAGATAGCTTTAATGTCTTTTGGATAAAGAAAAATAGAACTAAAAAGATAAAGAATTCATTTAAAACATTTATATTTTATGCTTTTCCATAGAATGACTTAAAAAACCTTCCAAGCCCACAAAGCCCATGTTCCAATGCAATAGGATACAGAGGATTTACAACTTAGATTGGGAATAAGACTGAAATAAAGAGTGTCCTTTTTGGTTTCAGAATGTCATATAGGATGTAACAACAAAATATGACTTTTCCTAGTTAATTAAATCAGTTTTAAACAGATGGCAGAAAAAGATGCATGCTGTGATTTAAAATTACAAAAGCAAGGCCATCGTGATTTTAAGTCACCGGAACACTCGGAAGAATGAATGTTATCACTTAATACTGAACCTTTCATTAATGTACTTTAGTGAAATGAATGTGCAGAAAAGTGAGGAACCACTTGACAACACTCTTGCTTTGCTGCTAGCAGTAAATTTTTGAGTGTGGAGCTACTGTGGGGTTTTGTTTAGAAAGTTTGACCTGAACAGAGTTTACATTTATGAAGAGCTAAACTTCCTTCCTGGATTGATGATATTTTTAAAATCTGGAGATCCCAGTTCATCTGGAATTTGCTTCCAACTTGCACAGTTAATAAGCACAGCCTTTATTTTTGTAGCTATTTTGTCAATCTTATTGAAAGCTATTTTAAATACAATTTATGTGTAGTGTACATGTCGTATTTAGGAAGCGAGTTCTCTGAATAAACTGCTTAATTATGGGAAAAATTCTCTAAGCAAGTCTGAGATTTCCATTGTCTGGGCTTATAGGCCACAATTGTTGATCCTTGTGCAGAATAGTAGTACGGTTTACTGAGTTGTTTAGGACTGGCAGTCACTGAGCTTCTTGGGAACCACAAAAATCTTGCAATGTGCTGCAAGACTGCTTACAGGGAAAGCTCTTTGGGTAAGAGAGGCACAAAGTTACTTAGGCAGTTAAGTTGTTTCTGATAGATAGGAAATTGCTGACTATGCAATCAAGATAGTTTGGTCTCCTCTATTTCTTCAGAAAGTTACTGTAAGCTCAGGTGGTTTGTGTTGAGTCAGGTTCGTACCTGGTTGGACTGGCTTTCCGCCTATTTTCTTTGTTTTGTTGTTCCCTTGCATCATCTTTATAGTGTTTTGATGTTACTTATTTGTAAATGTATATAGCTGTCTCTATATGTGCTTATCTGAGCTGAATATCAATGCTATATAGCTCGTCAAACCACCAACGACAGATGAATAATGGTAAGAGCAGTGCACCGTCGTGTCTTTAACCTTGCACTGGTTCAGTTTTTGCTCCAATGGAAAATACCTGTTGTTTGTACTGACCAATGTGTAGTAGCTGAGCGTTTATGCTTAGAGTAAAAACTTAGTATCAGAAACTGGCATTTGTGCCACACATAGTCCACAAACAGCCAGAATCTAATACTTAAGGAAAGAATTTTCAACTCCAGCTTAAATGATAACGATCAACCTACATTTCTGCATGTTACAGAAAAGGCAGCTGTAGCCAGTTCAGCAACATTGGCTTTATTTCTTAGTCATCGCAGTTTTGGTTCAACATTAAAGCAAGTTGTGGCTTGATTTTTTTCGATTGCAGCTTGCTTTGTGGTTAGGATTGTTCAGCGAGAGACTTCAAGCACTGAGAAAAACCCCGTGAGTAAATGGTGCCTGGCTGCTTGGCACGGCTGCGGGACGGCCCTGCCAGCCTCTCCGTCTCTCGCTCCCATTTCTGTCTCTTCCCGACTTGTGGGTGTCTACCTGGTGTTTGGCACAGCTGGCTTTTCTTGGAACATTTACACGCTGCCAGGTTTCAGTACTCTCAATACATGTGTGCTGTTAATGATTCCCCAGTCCAGTCAGACTGGGCTGGGGGTTGCAGACTGGGTACAAAAAAGACCAAGCACTTTGCTCATTATAAATATTTAACGTACTATGAGCCTCCTGTTGGGGAACAGACTTTCCATTACTGCCAGATATGTCCCCCCCCTCCCGCACCGACACCCTTTTGATGGAAGCCTGTTGTTTTTCTTGAGAGGGATGTTTTTTGTTTGAAAAACAAACAGCCCCCTTCCTTTTTTATTTCTCCCTTGCCTCACAAAGGACCCCTTCCCTCCTCCCCCCAAAAAAAACTTTGCAAAATGCTTCTTAAATTCACTGCTGGACTATCTTACCAAGTTTTGGTCTTACAACAAGAATATTTCTGGATCTGCCAAATAAAAAGAAAAAAAAAAAGGAAGAAAGCTTGTTTTCTAACCAACAGTACTGAAACAAGCCGGAGCTGTGAGGAAGGGATGTTGGAGGCTGACACGCAGGGGAGTGGCAGGGAAGGGATTATGCATCAGCAGTGATTGCAGAGGTAGCAGAGCCAATATACCCACTCTGTAAAAATACAAAGTTCTTGTTTCAAGTAACGCTTTATAAGCTTGCTTTCATGCAGTAACAAATGTCGATTTTTAGATATTAGTTGTCAGGAAGTGACCTAATGTCTTGCTTTACAGATACTGGCTTAATACATTCATATCTGTATTTCTGTTGATTGAAAATTGTAAAGTACTTTGTATATGAGATCACTTCCTGTAAGAAAAATGAGCTTTGTGGAACAGCTTAGCACATTCCAAGAGTCTCAAGTCTAGAATCAAAATCATAGTGGGCTCTTAGCTGCTTGGTGTTTTAATTGCAGATTTCTCCACACCACCACCCCCCCTCCCACCCCACTCCCTTCCAAAAAAAGGGGTGTGAGGAGAGAAATGTGATCTATTTACACTATGTCTTATCTCTGTATGCTTAGGTGGCACACTAATATATCCAAAAGATATATAAAATAAGGTGAAGAGCATGCCATTTATATTAAAAATAATAATTGGACTTTTGAGACAGAAAACAAAATTTGGGTGGAGTAAAGTGTTTCTTTGGATTACAAACTAGCTTAGAAGATTTTGTGCTGCAAATACCACATTGTGAATGTTCCCTCTTTGAACTTTTAGCATTCTTTATAAATGTGTTCACAATTTCTTATTTAAAAACACAGAAACACTTCTTTGAGAAACAGAAATTCAAATGAAGGAGAATTACAGCTTTAAAAAAGGGATCAGATTCTTCATCTGTTTTGTAATTTTCCAGTTTTGTGTGTTTATGTATGCAGTTTGATTATAGTCAAATGTGCCATATTCATGGACATTTAAGGCAACAGACATTTTAATAAGAAAAAGAATAGTCAGTTGTAAATGTTCCAAAAAGATGCTTTAAAAGCACAAAAAATTCCGTCACGGGACAAAAAAAACTGCCGTGGCACTGTTCCGAAGAGGTGGTTAGGAAAACGAGAGCCATATTCTAAGCCCTGCGCTCTACTCCTGCCCTTCACTGAGACACGCAAGCTTAGTAGCTGAAATCGCAGCTCTAATGACAGCAAGTATTATGTAGAATAGCTTGGCCATTTTTTCTGGTTGCAATTGTCCTACAAACCAGGCTTCTACCCCCAGTTAGCCCCAGTGTACCTTTCGGGGCTTTTAAAACATTGATAAGCGTGAAGCATCATGAACAGAACTGAGCGTGTGTAATTGGTACAGCTCAGATTATAAAATTATGCTTGGGAGCTTTAATTCCCTAGAAGTCCTAGTAAAGAGATTTCTGTAGAAAAGTGAAACCCCTTTAAAATGGTATTTTAAGTTTAACAGGGTTAGCAAAAACTGGAGAATGCTGCTTGTGCAACGTCTGACACATGCTGGCCCTGATGAGACCCAGCAGCAGCCCTCTGTGCTCCAGGGTGAGGTTCGTAAGTGACTGATGGGTTTGATGGTACCAGTCACTCGCCACTCTGGAGCAAAATGCAAAGGCTCCTGCTCCAGCTGGGACGGCAATATTCATATTCTTAAAATGCAAGCACAAGACCTAGTGCTTTGGTCCATGAGCAGTCAGTACTTCGCAGGATTGAGCCCATTTCCAGAGGCTCGCACTGGGAGATCTGATCAGTGTCTAAGGTTTTGTTTGTGGACTGTGCTGGTAATGAAACATTTTTAATTAGTTTCTGCTAGTACTGGGCAATCACAGTGGAAAGCAGTGGATCCCACTCCCTTATTTTTGTTTTTGGGCTATTATAAGCCTTTGCTAGTACAGGTTGCCCAGAGAAGCTGTGGATGCCCCATCCCTGGAAGTGTTCAAGGCCAGGCTGGATGAGGCTTGGAGCAACCTGGTCTAGTGGAAGGTGTCCCTGCCCATGGCAGGGGGGTTGGAACTAAATGATCTTTAAGGTCCCTTCCAACCCAAACCATTCTGTGACTCTATGATTCATGGTGGTCTCATAAAGGGAACGAAGCTTCTGGTTCTTGTTGGCTTCAATTCTAGACTTAGTAACTGTAAAGCAGTGAGATCGGTGAGTGCAGGAGAGGGGGAGTGGGAAGTGACCGCTCAGTGCGCCTTCCAATGCACCGCAGGAGGGATGAAGCAAAGCTGTGAGGTGTCAACCTCAACCCAGTAACAAGCAGACTGTGCTGCACGCGGTGGGCAGGGAGCACTTGGGTCTCGTTGTTCTCGCAGGTTGCTGTAGATGCTAAAAGCTCACAGGGCGACGTGACTATAATGCAGGAGAAA